AAAAAGGTTTTTTTTTTTAAATCCAAGCTATTGTGACACCAGATGTATTTGGTGGCACTGACTGGGGAAATGGGCACAGTATGCACTGTGAGCCTGACACAGAAGCTGGCAGCAGTGGCAGACAGCTGACTGCTATTCAATCTATAACAGTGAAAAAAGTTTTTTGTTTTTAAATCCAAGCTATTGTGACACCAGATGTAATTGGTGGCACTGACTGGGGAAATGGGCACTGTGAGCCTGACACAGAAGCTGGCAGCGGTGGCAGACAACTAAGTGCATTTACATTAGATAGAAAAAAAAAATCCAAAAAAAGCATACCCTTATCCCTAACCTAGCTATGCTTTTCCCTATCTTATGAACAGCAGCTACACTTTTCCTCCTCTTACTAAGCATGCAGCTTGAGAATGAATCTAAAATGGATGCTGTCCAGTAGGTGGGAGGGTCTGCTAGGGAGGGTGAGCTGCTAATTGGCTGGAATGTGTCTGCTGACTGTGAGGTACAGGGTCAAAGTTTACTCAATGATGACGAATAGAGGGCGGATCGGGTATGTATTCACTGCCTTAAGTGAAAATGGCTTAGCGAACATCACTATGTTAAAACCAGGAACCGTTCGCCAGCGAACCGTTCGGTACATCACTATATCCCTACTAGCTTACTGTATATTTCCAGGCAACACAGCTAGTCACATTTGTCGTTTGGCATTGTGACAAGAATTTTGTGATTGAGACTTCTTATTGTGGAGTGGGATGAAAGTTTAAGATCAATCTTGGCAAGAAAGATTGTTAACTCCTCACTTTAAAAAGGGATTGCACCAGTAATGAGCATCCCGGCATACTAACTGTTCCTAATTTACACAACATTATCACACACAGGTGCGGGCAATCTTAATCTTACTTTGAGGACCCTCACTCTGAGTGGACCCCTCCTACGTATTTTCAGAATTTCCCATGACAGTTTATGTTGAGAAAGCACCAGAGAGGTACAAAACGTCTCCAGGGTACATGCATCACTTGTTTTTTTTTGGGTAGTGGTGTGGGTGGTCTCTCCCTTGTCTGGCAGTAGCAGGTATTGCGACAATTTGTTATTCCTTTCATTCATCTGTCCTATTTTTGCTAAGCTTTTTTCTTTTGCTTGGATTTTTATGCTATATTTGGAGAAAACATGTCATCTGTAAAAAAATATTATGCCTGCTTGAACCCTCGAGTACCTTTGAGGGCTGCCATGACAATCTAATGCCATTTCCTTTTATTACACCAATAAATGTATAGACGTGTGCAATTCAATTCTGTCCGACTGTGTATTCGGATGAATTTCTGGCAATTCGGACATTCGGATGTTTTCTAATGTCCGAAGTGCCGAATTGCAGAAGTCTCTAATTTCGGAAGTGCTGAACTGAACCGAATTGCCGAAGTCCCGAATTGTCGAATTTCAGAAGTGCTGAACTGAACCAAATTTCCAAAGTCCCGAACTGCTGAAGTGCTGAATTTTGGAAGTGCTGAAGTGCTTCAGATTTCTGAAAAGTGGCAAAACAAGAGAGGGAGGGAAAATTGCGTGAATGATGACAGGGTTAGGGTAGGATTAGGGTTAGGATTAGGGTAGAGTTAGGGTAGGGTTAGTTGAGGGTCAGGGTTCGGGTAGGGTTATTGTTGGTTACACTATGGTTAGGGTTAGTGTCGGGTTAGGGTTAGATTAGGGTTAGGGTTCTGGTTAGGTTTATTTTAAGGTTACAGTATGGTTGGGGTAGGGTTAGGGGTAGGGTTAGGTTTAGGGAAAGGGTAGGTTTAGAATTATTGTAGAGTAAGGGGTAGGGTTAAGGTTATGTTAGGGTTAGTTAGGGTTAGGGTAGGGTTAGGGTTAAGGTAAAGATTTTATGAATTCCGAAGTCTCGGATTGGCAAAGTCTCGGATTGCCGAAGTCCCTAACTGAATTGCCGAAGTCCCGTGCTGAACCGAAGTCCAGAATTTTTGAATACCCCGAATTCAATGTCCCGAATTTCGGAGGTGCCGAACCAAAGTGCTGAAATTTTTTTTACCCAAATTTCCAAACCGAATTTTTGGATCGTGCACATCCCTATAAATGTGCACTTTTTTCATACTTTTCATATCCTTCATGTAATTTAGTCTACGAACTATAAGGGCTCAACCCTGTGTGCGGACTATTGTATTTATATTGTGAGATATTTTCTATGATTGGGAAAAGTCCAGCACCAGCATCTAAACCCCATATGTTCTCAGGATTCATAGCTATGCACTAAGAATCTACCTGATACCAACGATGTGGTGGAACCACCGCTTGTTTGGGGGCTTTCTACTTTGTGTTTTTCCCTTGCTTTCAGAAAATGCACCCTGCTCCCTATTTGGTAGAACTCCTACGAGAGGAATTCCTTCATCTCCCAAACGGGGACCACCCCGACATCCCATTTAGAACGTTCATGTAGAATGTTAGCACTCACAACATAGGTGTGAAACCGCAAGGGAAGCAATTAATGAACCTATAGATGAACGCCAGCCGAGGGGGACGTTCGTGGATTGCTTCCCGATGCATTCCTAGTCCTGAACGAGGACCTCCCCGGTGCCCCACTAGAACGTTCCCACCAATTCTGCATAACGTTCGTACTAGCAAAATAAGTGTGAAACCGCAACTTCTCACTAGCAACATAAATGTAATACCGCTAGGGGTAAGTAATTAATTAATGCTCCTCTGGGTGGCAGCCATTTTGTAAAGACGAATGATAACCAGGGGACCTTTCATATCCTGAAAGGAGATGCTTCCGTTGCCAGTTTCAGCACAAGAACCTCACAAATGGAGATTAGTCAGGGAATGTGCCATTGTGAGGTCGCCTGAGGTTGGTGGGGACACTCTTTGGGTACTGGCTATTTTGGTGGGCTTTCTGTGCCTGGGAGACAAAGGGACTGCCTCTTTTCCCGTGCTTTGGCTCCCAGGCCCAGAGACTCCTGGGATGAAGAACACCCTGTCGTCCTGCGTGGGAGACCCTTATCTGAGTGGTGGGATTTCCATATTTGGGAGACAAAGGAACAGCAACCCCCCCCATCCCATTCCCACGCTGGGGCTCCCTGGTGTAGAGAATCCTGGGATACGACCCCTGTTTGTGTGTGTTAAAGACCCTTTGCATAGAGCAATGCATA